TTGAATTAGTTTTGTTGAGGTGTTTAAAGACATACGTGACACCATATAGTCCAGCATGTAGGAGATATCTCAAAACTATTTGCTAACTTCAATGCAAATTAAGCGCAGACATTCCTATACAAAGCAAAAGCATATTACTCCTCAAACTGCGAGAAATAAATATTTCACTTAAGCAACTGTGGTGGCACCCTTCTTCTATTACTTTAGTCAGATAAAATTTATAATATCTTACAGCTGATTTCCTGCAGAGCAGAGCGGTCTAACAGAGACAAAATAGCATTGCGGGTAAGCAGAAAAACCGATTACCAACCCATAAAGGAAACTTAAGAGTTGATTATACAAGAGAACAAGTGTTATCGCCTCCTATGCTCATGAAGAACATTATTTTCCTTTCACTGCAGAGAAGTGTCACTTTGAAGTGGACACTTCATCCCTGAAATGCAGAATTCAGGACATTTCCTCAATGTTTCTTTCTTCTTTTTTGATTCTCCTTTTTTATCACCAACCCCCATCCCCCAATTGTTCTCTATTTTGGGTCATTTAGTCCATACACTTTGATGGAGGGCATCCTTCTCTGAACTTATGAATCAAAATGTATTCTCCAATGGATATCTGGAGGTATAATTTGCCCCTAACACTCTTCAATCTTTATTGTTGACACATTCAAGGATGCCTAACTCCCACAAGTAAAAAAAAACAACCCACATTAATCTTTAAAAACATGTCCTTACCTTTCCTTCTGAAAATGAATGCTCTTTGAAATTATCAGTTTTGCTTTAAACCACAAGGATCATGCACTTTAGGAAACAAATCTGAATGTGAAAAATTTGTAAATAAAAATATGCTGGTATATAAATATAAATCCTGCACAGTGCTAAATATTTCCTTGGAGGCATGGAGCACTCAGCTTCCCTCAGCAGATGTTAATAGAAATCAAAAGCACCCAGCAGCCTCCTGGATGCAATCTGTGGGATTCCCACATACACTTTTTCTGCATACTGGAGAGAATTGCTTTTTTTGCTTCATGCTTTTGTAGGTGATACTATATTACGGAAACAGCTCCAAAACAGACACTGGCACCCATCCATGATAAACCAAACACCCATTCAATTACTAAAAACATAAAAAAAAAAAATTGTTAATTTGGGTATCTGAAAGCAGACAGGCAACTTAAAAGACTTAAGATGACCTTTTTATTTCTAGATAGTGCAAGAAAACAGCCCTAAAGAGAGAGCGGTGCCTTTCCCATTATGCATTCCTTCTGTTACTTTATGCAGAAAAGAGCTTTGGAACAGCCTTTGAAGGAGAGGCCACCTAACGCACAAGGAGCATTCTCATCTCCATACCCTCAATTTAGCAAAAGACCCAAGAAATGTCAGTCATGGAAAAAGACATTTTGAAAGGTTGTAGGAATTTAACAAACTTGTCTTAATTTTGAGCTAATCCAGTGTGACTAAAACAGGTGAGCAGTTGATGTTCACTAGAAAAAAAATTTATTTTTTTTTTTAATTCTATTTTATTTTAAAAGTGTCTACTAAGAATTTACTTTTCATTCTGAAGTATTACCAGGAAAAAAATAAAACAAAACAAAACAAGTTTGATTTGATTTCATCTCCTTAAAATAATTAACCTAGATGTTTACTTAAACATGCTAAAATTTCACACATTTATTCAGTTGGGCTCCTTGAGCTCCCTAGACAACCAAATGTTATTTTTCTTTAGGGTAAATACCTGTGTTTTGATTCTTTGTACTGAAACAAGAATTTCTGAGGCTATGATATAGCAAACTCCCTGAAAATGCTGAAGCATGAAAACATAAGGACTATACACTGTATGTGCAAAACCTGCCAGATGCTTTGTATCTCCACATATCAGTATCTCCCCCTAGGCAATACCCTTGGTCTCCTGCTCCCTCTGATGCACAAATAGGAAATAAATGATGCTTAAATTCATCTCACAAAAGCTTAAAGATCCAAGCAGTATCAAAACTTATTAAAAGAAGTGGAAAATATGAGTAATCAATGTTTTAACATGCTTAAAAGAAACCCAGAGTTCATATCAACCTATGGTGCACAGAATATACATATGATAAATGAGAAGTAATTTTCTCTCTTTTCCATGTGCATCCTAGAGAAGTTTTTACTTTAATTTAGCTTCTTACTTGGTGATAAGGGCTAATGCAGTTTTAAACAGTACATCTACAAGGAACAGCTAATAATTTTTGACTGTTACTCACTTATTAGACTCAAATAGAAAATAAATAGAGTTAACAAAACCAGAAAAATCACAGGCAATTCACCCAATTTGAAGTTTAAGTAAAATCTGGAAGCTGCTTCTCATGAATAACCAAATTCACCAGGACTCATTTTTTCAGTCTGTTCAGCTGTGTAATTCCCCAGCAGAAATGCACTTTTCCCTCTTCCTCCTCCTCAGATAAATAACCTGAGTGTGCCTTCATGATCTATACCCAGTTATTAGCAAACAGAGCTATCAAATCCCAGTCATCAAAAAGGATCAGCTGAGTTGTTTAACATCTATTCTCTTTTCCAAGCAATGGACTACATACAAATTTCACTGTTCCCTATGTGTGTCTACTACAATACATTGTCTACTGAGATGCTACGAGAGAAGGGTAAGACCTGAGGTAAGTAAAAGCATTGCTGCCTCCTGTTCACAAATACTATTACACTCAGTCTTTTTCCAGCCACCATTCTATGCCTCTGTTTACCCTTTCTGGTCTCTAATATTATGTACCTACTAGCAATGCTCTTAGGGGAAAGATCATTTCTTTGTCCCATGTTTCTACAATGCACTTCTTAGAAGATTGTGATAAATAGCCAAAGCACTTTAGATCTACAAAGGTTCACCACAGAACATATAATAACAATAATATCAGCTGATGCTCCCACAAAAGAGTGGCAAATAGTAATCTCTCCTGCCTACCACTTTTCCAGCATCACCTTCAAGCCTGGTGATATGCAAATACTTTATTCCCTAAGCAGTAGCTAAACAGAGGTTTCCTCCTCCAAGTGTTACTCCTGTCTTTATCCACTGGAGGCAGACAATTCTGTTACAAACATTCAATTTCATGAGCTACATGGAAATACATAAGGGTTATTTATGTCATATCAAGATCATGCTGGTACCCAGAATTGTTCAGGTTAAGACCGCGAGGCGGCTTGTTCCTAAAAGCTGCTATTAAGCTTTAAAGTAGAAGATAAATATCTCTGACCATGGATGCCTAACTCCACAGATCTAAAAAAGGAGGCACGACTACCAATTTCTACACAAAACGTATGTACACAGAAAGGGGGGAAAGAGGCTGAACCCACAAAGATGACTGAGAGCACAAGACAAAGCATCTTGTAAAGAAATAGAAAACGTCTTCCCAAGCCTCTTACCCAACAAGACAATATTAGATTGGACTTAAACTGCAGATAATGCTCATTTTTAGTGTTATTTTTTTACACAGCCCTACATTTTGGCTCATAAAATATAAAACATTTGCAAGAACAACAAAAATTACTTTGCAGATTCAACAAGACTGCAGCTTGCCATGAAGGTATCGAATCAGCTATTACTAAAAATCATGAGGAATTCACATCTTGTTTTCAGGATATACTAGCCAGATGTACTACCTGTTCAATTGAGGCCAGGCTTCTTGTATGGAGACAGCATCATTATTTCATGAATTACCAGTGACCTTTGAAAGATACTAGGAAAAGCAGGCATGTTCATTCCCTTCCATTGATTTTCTAATTTTGAGTAAATTGGTTTAACCTGGGGAATGGTTATCTATTAGGAATAAAAAATACCCAAAACTGACTTCAGAAAACAGTATAAAGCTTTTGAACTGAAACAATGAATTTAGAAGGGAGACTTCAGGCAAAAAGGTAATGATTACATAAATCTTAACTTGGGCCTGAATCTGTGGACAGCCACACAAGTATGAAAGAATTCGAATCTCTTTAAACTTAAGAGACAGATCTACAGGCCTAGACCTTTGTTTTACTACACTATGTACCTGGAATATGTGTCTGGTTTACCCATTAAATTTCTGTTGTTGCAAAAGCCTGCAGAAAAAAAACTCATCTAAAATGGAAAATGATATGGGCATCATTTTCATCTGGTTAAAATCGCACACAATGTGCTGAATATTGAGAACATCGGACAGTCGTGAATCTAATCAACTTAGAAGACAAGTTCAGTAAATTAGCATACACCTCAAACAGCCTGCAAGAAAAGAACCTGGTCATCTCCAGCAAACTAAGAACACACAGGGCTCCATAATGGAAGGGAATGGTGATTCATAGGGTAACTCTGTAGGGTCATCACTGTATTAGTGCCTAGACTTCAAATACTCTGATGAGTAGACCTTTGTCTAAACAGATTTGCATTACTTTGTTGTCCTCTGAACATGGAGTGATCATACCTAAGTCTTCTTTGCTATCAATTTATACTATATAATAAACATATATTATGGCACTATGATTATTCACCTTAAAAACACATGCAGACTATCTGTTCCTTTACTATTTTGTATACTTTTTTGTGTTTTCTTTTCTTTATTTATTTATTTATTGCCTATGGGGTACCAAGTTAGTCAATCCATTAAACCCATTCGATGAAATTCTAGAAAAGGATTTAAGCCACCAAACTCTAACAACCTCATAGCAAGCTATATGCACAATCAGGTTTGGGGATTTTTTCCTCCTTCCAAGCACTCAGTTGGTAACTCTAAGTTGAATTCCACTTATTTGTGAGATCTTCGCTCTTGTCATCCAACACTATGTCTCACCCAGGAATTATGAGCTCCTGAACTCATAAATCTTGATCTAAGCATACAACTTCTTACAAATTTTTTTACAAAACTCTTAAGACTCCTCAAAGTTGAGCATTTGAACCCCCACCCCCACAATGCTCTATACTTCTTTTCACATCACAGATTACAGGCGCAAACATTAAAATATCACACTGACTATAAGGAAATGTTCACCTACCTCACGATCCAACAGTGCAGATGATACCACTGTAACAATATCTCCCTTTTCTGGGTCAATAAAGAACATATTTGGAGACGGTTTGTCAGGTGTCTGTTTGAGGATGTCATACCGGATAAGAGCATTGTCTGTGTTAGCATCATCACCATCAACTGCTGTTATACGCATCACAGTCGTTCCTAAGGGAAAGATGGACAGATAACAGATTGGAGTTAGCCAAAAATTGTAAAATTATGCTGCCTTCACATGTGAGAACCAGATGGATGCAATACATCATTATCTCATCCAGACAACAAAGTAGTTTCACCTGATAGTTGGTACTTGTATCTGTGTTACTCTGCCTTCTAGTGAGCTAACAAAAGACCAGTGTTTCTGGTTTGCAGCTGACATATGACTCTAACATAAGTTCCCCGTATTTGTTTGCTTTATAGTCATGCTTATTAATCACATTTCACTAAATTAATTATATTTTTTTCTCTTTAAATTCTACAGGTTGAAAGTCTTCAGGATACATATGGTCAAGATGACTGCTGAAAGGAGAGAAATGTCTCTATTTTCATTTTGAAGTCTTGCACAGCTGCAGAATTGGTGGGACATTATAATTTCTGTCAGTAAGAAATTTTCTAATGATTAAAGCCTACATTATTCTAATTTCAATTGTGGAAACTTATGGGCTTATTATGTCAGCCTCAATACAAAAAAAAACCCGAAACACCTCTATTGCTAGGCTAACCTTCAAGTGATGAAAGGTTTTCTTAACATGAAAATCCTGTAGCACACACTTCTGCTATAGAGTGCAGTAAGGTATTTGATAACGAACGCAGATTCCTAAATTATTTAAGGGGAAAACCCCACTCTTCTATATGACAGTTAATGCAGATGCTGGCAATTCTCTATTTAGCTAGTGGAACATATAGTTCTGCAAGTAGTAGAACAAAGGATCAAGTCTTTTCCTCTCTCTTAGGCAGGCATGCTAGAGGTTCACATAATCTACACGAATCTGTCACGTCACACTTTTATTTGCTTTCTACAGTACATTGAGAAGCAAAGAAAATAAGTAGACACCTGGGTTGACCTGTGAGATAATCATACCTAGACCATTGCAATTTCTTAATCAGTTCATTTGTATGTTTAAATGAAAGCATTATAAAACAAGCAAATAAACAAAATAAACAAACAAAACCCCCTAACAACAATAAAAAAAGAAAAAAGAAACCAAAAACCCTAAAAGTAATATGTCATCAGAAGAAAATGAAAATATTTCTTGTAATACTGAGCTAAAGAAAGAGTAAAATCCTACCTACTAAGAAAAAAGTCATGATCAAATCAACAAGCCACTTTCAATGGTGAATCAACAAATTAATACAAAAGGTATTAGAAAACGTTATACAAATAAGGAATCTAGGAAAGTGTCCATTCTTTAGCCTAAAAATCCCAACTGAAACAATTCATCAAATCCCATCAACTTGCATCGCAAATATACAATTTACATTTAAATAACTTTGTACTGAAACCATGTTATCTAATGTGTGAACCACAATGTCAAAATTAGTTGTAATTCTTTGTTGGAGATTAATTCTTCTGTGGTGGTTAATCCACTCTTTTCCCCCATAGACCTTCAGTGGGCAAGTATTATTGTAAAATGCCATGATGAAAAACATTTCAAATACAAGATTTGCATTCCTTAACAGGTCTGTAAGATCATATCTTCTGTTCTCAGTATCCACAGAGCCTTTTGTGGCAAAATAATTGCAAGTGATTAAAACCTTTGCTACAGACAAGGCCTGGGACATTACACTAGAAGTGGCTGCAGAACAGAAATATGTGTCATTCATGTCCAATGATAACCAGTGAATTTATATATTCTTTTTGAAGATCTTGAAGTACACATCACTAAAATATCAAATAAAAATGAAATATTGTAGTAAAAGTAAAAACAAACCTAGCTTCATTTACAGGCTGTTATAACAAGTGTCTGGTTCACTGTTCAACAAGCACAGCTAGCTTGTTTAGATACATTTCTTCTTTTTTTTCTTTTTGTTGTATTTCCCAAAGTCTTGCCTCTTGCTGTAGTGACCTTGAATATAAGCTCTCAAAGGTTTTGTTTCATTGCTACTTCAGGCAGTGTTACACCCTTGAGAAAAATAACAGAGATCTGACAGCATGTTGGTTTTATTCACCAATGATTAAAGGTCAGACAACTCAAAAAGGAGCTTACCACTGCATACCATGCCATGTTTTCCAATACTACAAGATGATCCTAACCCTGGTATTTTCACCTACTTTTTTTGAGACTTCTTCAAAAGAAAAAAAAGGGGCTTTCTATTTTTAAGAATGAAAATTCACTCTTTTTTTCAGAAGTACAACACACTGTAGTACTTTTTACATATTTAATACATTTTGAGAAGATTATTTGTGTTCATATTAGGAAATGTGTTTCACAAAGATCTAATCAAGTGATTCAGTGAAATAAACAAGAATGAAGGCAAATCTTCAAAGGATCTTAAATACTGCCCAAGTATAAGTGAGAATAAATGGGTTTTGGTATACAACTCTTTCTTGCCAAATGCAACTGAATAAGATGCTATACTTGAGTACATTGGACTATATTTTAAATGAATATATGGTTACTACCATCATTAATCCACTAGAGGAGTTATGTTAGCAGAGATTTAGAAACAGATTAAAATATATACTGAAGTAGAAATACTATGTATACAGTTGTCCTTTGACAGTTCTACTGAAATACTTATGATAAGACTGGAAAGTACATGTAGATTTTAAGATGTAAACCCCCAAATCTCTATTCTGTCATAAAACTGGCTTAATACAATGGCTGAATCTGATTATGATTTGCCAGCTGCAGTTCTTTAACCTTTCAACTCACTGGACATTATCTTGTTCTGCAAAATCATTCCCTTGGTGAATGCTGATAAGAAATTCCAACAACTCAGAAGAGCAGAATTTTACATTCATTTTGCACAGAGATGCTAGCTCCATGAGGAAAGCTGTAGAGAATTAGATCCATTTTTCTCTAACGTTACTTCTGTCAAAAGTTTTGAGATACTAGTTTCTAACTACCATCAAAGTGACATTTACGATTAAGTAAAAGTTGTTATAGTCTCACAAGTTGATATAACAGGTGTAAAAATGCAGCTAAAATTTGGGGTTGTCTTTAGATGTCATTATGCCCTTGTACAATCTAAGGTTGTACCTGTTCACAAACATCAATACAGAAAACTACACCACATTAAACATGTCCACATCAGTACAGTAACCAGAGGAACTGCTGAATAATGTGGCTGAAAGGAAGCCCTTGCGCTGATTTGAAAGTTGATGCTAGGCTTCTGCAGCCATGGTGAGAATGCCTTATTCTCAGAAACATACCTTTTATGCTCTTGTGCTTCACAAGCAGGTTGGCAAACTAAACACTAACCGGAGTTCAAGGCTGCCCATACATTTCAAAGCACAGTGGTACCTACTTTATATTCTATGACATTAAGACAAAGAAAACAAAAATCCTCACACATACAAAAAGCTAGAATGGGCTCATATTTGTGCCTGATGCCTCAAAAATCACAACAGCTTTAAATCAGAAGCAGAAATATATTACAGGGACTTTTTGGGGAAGTCCAATGGCTATGTATTTCTGGGGAAGAACTTTCTATCTCAGTTGAAGATAGGAAGTACATGGAAAGTTCTTGCCTGGAAATATAGCTATTGTACTTCCCTCTTCACATGTAAGAGAATACACATGACCATACACTTGGGATTGGGCCACCACAAAAGAGAATGCTTAGAAACATCCCTTTCCTAAAAATATAACGAGACAGGTTTTTTTATTTTAAGAATCTTTACAGCATACATCCGGTCCAAAAGAGTTTAATTCAAGATGCACACTTCCTCAGCATTTCTCTTTCATCATAAAGTTTTATTCTTCATAAAAGATTCATTTCCCCAGACCTATAAACTGACTACTTCTAATTCAGTGTCATTTTATAAATACTTCCATTCCTGGCATCAATCAAATGCAGCTGGCTTTCAAACCACAAAACAACAGCTTGCTACATTATCATGTTAAACAATATATATTAACTTATCAAGCTGAGGAAGAAATGCCTGCAAAATCAGCAACTTTATGGTTCTGCTGATGATGTGCAGATAGTCATTGAGGCAGCCTCTCTCAGTAAAGGTATAGTTATGCTTTTCTGTTTCAGCATTCATGGTTTATTTGTCATACATTCTGAGCAGTTTCACTACTACCATAATCACTCAAAACCTCTTTTGTACCTCCCACAGTTCCTCACTGATCAGCTGTATAACCCACCAGCCACGTCATTGCTCCAGAAGCTGCAGGTATCAATCTGTTGATCACTCATTTGGCTTGTATGTTGGCTTGAAATAAAGGCAAAAAGCTCCCCTTAGGCATTTAGATGTAAAACACACTGCTTGCACAGTTCTGTGGTGATTGGAGCAGATGGTTTCTTGGGAAAAAACTCTTTGGTTTTGGTGTCTTTTTTTTTCTGTCAAGATGCCAAGAGAACATCAAGAACAATTCAGCTGATGGATGAGATTACCACTAACCCCCATCCTTTTTATTTATTTAGTCTATTCATCTGCTGGGTTTACAAAAAGGACTGGAATGTAGTGGAACTGAGACCTATTTCTAGCTTGCTGAAATGTGAACATGTGTCTTAAGCCTACAGCCTTAAAAGACTGTATTTGAATACTAACAATGAAATAATTAAGGACTGAACCATTTTGAGAGCTACAATGCTAAAAAACTTTACTCTGGAATTTTCTCCTATTATTTTCATACTTTTTCTGAGTCCGTGCTGCATGTTTGGTATGTTAAACTTTTCCTAGATGTGCAACAGAAAGGAAGGGGTCTAGTTTCCTAATTAATGTGACTGGATTGCTGAGTTGTTTTTCCACCTTCTTTGCAAGCTCAGACGTAGTTCTCCATACACTGAAAATAATCAGTTGAACAATGGTATACTTTCAAATAGAAAAGCTGTTTTAACCCAAGAAGGAGAACAAAGAATGAAAAATGGGATGAAAAGGGAAAAAATCAAGAGAATGACTTACATCTCTAGAGCATATTGCATTTATTACCACAGACAAAATTACACCAAATTCCAGAAAATGGAGCAAAGGAGGACACCCTCCTGACTACTAC